AAATTACAAGTAAGAGCAACCACGGGTACCGACTATACAGAAGTGAAAGGGTACCGAACCCAAGGTGTAATATACGAGCTACGAAGTGCTGGAGGTCAGTTAGCGAAGCAAGAAGCGATGAAGTGCACGACTCAGGAAAATCGAAAACGAACGATCGGAAGACACAAATAAGAATAAAATCCAATGTCACAAAATAGGGAATGCGTAAATGTTTCACGTTCACTACAATCTTTTTTCAGTAAACACACACTAACAAGCTTTTCAACTCGGCTTCCCACGACATCGCAACGATGAGTCCTTGGTATTGTTACAGGGTGTCACTTGATGAGCACAGTATGGGTTAAGCGGCAGTCTCTTCCGACAGTTATGTATATTATACAAGTTGGTGAAGATCAAGCGCCGTTCATAATGAGATGAAACGGTGAAAATGTGAACGGTTGTGTATTCATGGGGTGGGTATACTGCCGTGAGATGTGTCAGTTGTTTCATCTTCGTATTATACAGGTTTTTATTAGCAGAAAAGTTAACACAAGTGGGCCGCACGATTTAATTCCGGAAAAATTTCTCTGCATATTTTCATTGTTGTAGCCATTAGGAGTAGTTATTTACAGCTGCTTGCGTTGTCGCATATATCACAAAAGTTGAGAGTCATCAATTGTCGTCTATAATTAGTCAAATACTAGCAGCTTTTGTGACGGTAGCTGGGCTCATACTCTTTGAATTCTTGGTGAATCGTCATAGTATGACTATCATTGACGATAGCTGCTGGTGATAGGTGTCATTCCTCCTTGGAACGGGTGGTATCTGAGACAGATATTGTCTGACAAATGGCTGAGCATGAACAACTCACTGTTGTTAGTGACTGAGTTATTTTTATGGAATTAGACCACGGATTCAGAAAGAATAGAGAGTTTACCCTCCCTGTATTTGCATCCAATCCTTCACCTGAACACAAAACTCTAGGCTGCATATTTTATCTTTATAGCCGGTCTCTCAACCACAGCTAGGTAAAGTCGCACACAATCATGTTTATGTGGTACTTTTGCTCATCGGTTGCCAGTGAATGCGAGCGAAACATTATCACGCAGTACACTATATACCCTCGTGATCGCAACTGGATTGTTAAGCACTCCAATTGCAGCGATTCGCTAACTACGTTTGAGACAAAGCTCCTATGAGCTCTTCAGTTGCCTCGTCATAGGATTGTAATGATGAGGATGCCGTAGCTGGTTGAAAGCCGGTAGCATGCCGTTCGCCTCTGTGACAACTGTACACATTGTCATAGGTTTGAAGCTCTTTTGACTCAATTAATACATAGGCAACATTTACATTCCTCATGTTAGATTTCGAGAGCAGTCGCTTTTCTATTGCTCATAGACCTATGGGGGGAGTAAAGTAGCTGTCAATGGCTTGAGAATACAGTCCTCCGTTAAAATGCTAAGCACTCGATTCGAAAACGAGACGCAGGTGTCGGTTACGGCCCTATGTTGAAAAACTGGAAAGCACCGTAGAAAAAAAGTTTGGCACGCACTTTGGTTACAGTTTCTCTATCCACCGTTTCTTTCGTGACATGAGCGAACTTGCTTCATGTGCTACATAATAATATTAATTGTTTTCGTACACTATCAATCCATTCCAGCGAAAGCTGTGCCCACCACCAACTTGACATTGGTGAGTCTATAATGTCTTGTAGTCCGCTTAAGGATGCAGCCATTAGAGATTAGACGGGTTTCGGTCTGTTCGACAGAGGCAGATCAACTTTATCACCCGCGTTTACTAGTCTACAGTTGACTGGATCGACCTGAATAACATGTGTTTGACTGCACAGCAGTACCCGAACTACAAATCAAGGACAACGTTAGGCAGATGCCAATTGGTGAAGCCCGATAGATCGCCAACTGACAACCACCAACGTATTGGGTCAATCAGTGAAGTTTAACAAAATATCAATCGCAGTGCCCTTCTCTATTCCTCATTCTTGAGTATTAGCCCATATATAAACAATGTGTCTAACGCAAAAACAACCAACTGCTCAATGGTACTGCGATTTGAAAAGAGTAACATTGTAAATCACTTTTAGTAGATAACAAGGGCATCTATTTGATTTTGGGCTCGGTTAACTTCTCAGGAGCCACCGCGCACACTGTAACATTTACGCTATTTTTGCGTTCAGTATCGTTCTGCAAGCTGAGCCAAAGCGTTGATGCATCGAAATTCCAGACTGATAAGTCCGTCGCATAGGCCTCTACATAAACTTCTGGATTCAGTTTTGACAATGAGTGAATACTGGTGATGGAGCTTACGCTTTATGGCTTCCGTCGCATAGTCTAAATGGGAAGCAAAAGAGAACGCTTGTACATTATTCCTAGAAAAGTAAACCCTTTTGGCTTCAAGTGTGTCTTGCGGCACAAGCAGATGTCAAATATTAGGACCTAGAATTTATCCTATAATTGGAGAAATGGGCGAATCCCATGTGATGAGCTGCAGATGGTTTAGTGCACAAACCGATTGTGCCCTAAATATAGTCATGATCTGAGCAGAGGCGACTGGTTCGGGGAGTGCATTATATAGATAGGTGACATGAAGAGAACATAAGTTTCTGTGGTATTCCACGCAGCTGAGCTAATCCGTGAGTGGTTACTCAGGCTCATACTACTACGAAGCTCCGGCGAATCGAGGAACACATGATTTGGAATGTGTAGAATCAGGTAAGCCATGGTCAGGTTATCCTATAATTTTTGATGCAATCCACAAGTAACCTCGAGAATATCGACCTCTGCCCACAAGAGACAATGTGCATTCCAGTGATGTATTTGATATCCCCTAGTCGGAGCAGTGTGATCGTGTTTTAGTCGTGTCTCTCAGACCTGAATGTCGTATTCTATATGAGGAACAATAAAGGCGTTAACAATTTAAGGGCAAATAGAGAAGTTTGTCTGAACCCTCTTCGTCAGCTTCCGGGTTCTTCCAGTGCCTGATTAGACGGAACAACATAGGCCATCTTGAACCATCACTGCAAAGTCACCTTCAACAGAGCTCCACGGTATAGGTTGGCCGAACCCGTAATATTAAGTGCTCTGGTATTGTATGGATGTTGCGTTCTACCGCTAAAAGTCGAATTGTAGCAGTTTTCTGTTGTACACCAACACATCCTATCTAGGCCGTACCGGTGCGTTTATCGTTAATCATTCCATCGCTATTAACTGCTCCCGTCAGCAGCGATTGAGACATTAGAAGAGATAGTTTCTGCGAAATAATTAATGAAGAGTAAAATGGACGTGCGCCAGTAGTAAGCCTTACAACGTACCACATTCAATTTAGGTACAGGCAGAGAGCAAACTCTAAAATCTAACTAAAAACTGCAGGATGAAATTCGCGAGTAAACTCAATCAATGGCTATGGATGTTAAGATGTTCGGATATGAAAAGTAATGGGTCTAAACGGTAGCAATCTGCGGTTCAATGCATAGAATAAGTGCGCCTTAGTTGTATCCCTCATGTAAAAGTCGTATTTGCTGCGATTTTCTAAGCGCCAATTGCACACAGAAATTTTTGACTTACTACTACTTAACTGGACCCCACTGGCCTCATAGTCATAGTAGAGGGGAGAAGATATGGATGGTTCTGCAAATTGCCAGAGGCAGAAAGTTATAGCCTAAGAATCAAGTGGTTTCTTTCGGCCAATTGGCTGATATTTGATGCTTATAATGTGTAAACATGTGTGGTGTTCCAATATAGTGGCAATCACTGGGAAGGAAGTAATCCCAACAGTAGCACACAGAAAGTGGCAATGCCAATATCCCCATTTTGAGGAGTCCACGCTGAATAGTCAAGCGTTAGAGGATTTCGGCGTGGCTTAACATCGTTTGCCAGTAAAACTAAATCCCTTCATCTTCCACAGGGAAGTATCGGACAAATAAGGAAAGACAGGATGATGACATATTTCTGTACAGTGAATTATATGCCATTCGAACAGCGGCCGGAATAAGAAAACCAATTGTCAGTCTAGCTACCCAAACACCCTTCCTGAGATAAATTAAAAAGCGCTTGAATTACTGGAAGCTTCGCGACAGGGGGTGCTTTCGTTGTAGATGTACTTGAGAAAGCATTAAGATACACAGATGTGGAAATACCAATTGTACGCTGCTTACAGTCTGTACATTTATGTTATCTCCATTTTCGTTCAATGTGGATACATCAGCGACTAGTGGAATAGGATCGCCTTGAAGGATTTACAGGCGCAGTGGAGGTTGCTACTCTTCCGCTCGTCGGAAAATAGTTTGAAGCCGATGACAACTTGGAACAAATCTTGCCATGCCTACCTGTCCCAAGGGACAACTCGCAGGCGAGTCCAAACGGACTAGGCAACCTGTATCATTTGGTTATTGCGGAGTTAGTATGAGGCGTGATATCTTCATACATTGATAATAATCACATTTAAAAGGCTTGAAGTTACCGTTACTTGATGACATTTCATTTTTATCCCAGTTCGGCGCAGTGGGTCAGAGTGCTATCCGGTAAGGCGGCCGATTCTTTTGAATTAAATAATAAATAATTGTCAGCTGTGCGCCGTAAGGGTGCTTGTCTGCCGCGCGATCACCATCAGTCGCACGAGTGCTGAGTATGCCGCGAAGAGGCCCACTCCTACGCGCATTCGAACCGGTGACCATATGGTAGCAAACGAGACCCGCAGACCACTCGGCAACCGGCCGACCGATTCAGTTGCAGACACTGAAATATCCGTACTATCCGGTTACAAGCGATTCGAGTAAAGTGAGTCTTCTCAGTCTTCAGATGATACATTTTCGCAACCATGTTACCCAATGGATAAGTTTTTCATTATTCGCCAGTTAGCAAGTTAAGTTTGCAAGAAAGTAAATTTTTGGATGTAGTGGGTTTTCAAATTTGTTTTGACTTTGAATACATGTTCATTCACATTGTGCAATTTTGATTGAAAATAATCCATTTTATAGGCTATTTTCCGATTTATTTACGTTTCAGCGGAGAAAAGACAAGGAAACCGCGGAAGCTTTAGGGTAAGTATTATCCACTTAACCTGCCCTACAACATGTTTATCTAAACTATATGAGGGATTAGTGGATGCTCGTAGATGTAGGTATTTCAACCGCTTCCGCATACCGTGCTAGTCCCGGTCTTATGAAATAGCAAAATTGCCTAGATTACTGAAGTGGACCAACAGTTAGCGCTACAACCACTGCTCGGTCATTGGTCGTCAGCATCGGCACTTTTACATGGCACGTGATATATCGCTCCAATTCCCAGAAACGCGTTATCAATTTGCCTGCCCAAAACGGACGGATGTGTGGTTGATTTCATCTGTGGTGGTTTCCCATCAATCTTCACGATTAAGCACGCAGACCTAGCACCGAAACCAGATCCTGCAGCATGAATACCTAAAAAACCGAAATTCCACCCTGCTTTAGTTCGGATAGTTGTTGGCTAAACGGAGAACAAAGGACAACCCCTTCAAACGAATGTTTGCAACGTTTAATCACGTAGTACTTAGCAAGTACAAACATGCAAACCCATTCTATGTCTTGCCAAACGCACTCAAACTAGGTATTAGGCACTTGAGGTGTGGGGAATTAGGTGATTGCCTCACATCTATCGCTGGGCTTATGCCACATATTCGCGTTTCAAAACTACTAGTTTGAGCAGTGGCATAAAACTATCCGCTAAATTGGTCCAAAGTGAGCAGTTCCATAGTCAATGCGAGACGTAAGGATGTGACGCAATAGAAGTTAGCAAACTACTCTTTTTCCACTCATGTGTGTGGCTTTTTGATCCATGATTTAACTGGTACGAAAACAGCTATAGCCAAACACCTAACTAAGCACACTGGATATGTACACCTCACTCGTCGTTTGCTATGTTGCACATGGACCAGATCAGGAGTTCGCTAATGCCCCTGCGCTTTGACGCTTCCTTTCCTCAAAGTACCAGTGAAATCTCACATCCCTGACTTGGAGTTGTTTGCGACGCCATGAACCTAGCTATTGGTAGGACCAATGCTGTCTGTCGGTAGTAGATTCAGGTCCTAAAATTTGTCAGGGTTGTGCTGGATCTCGTGAAAATAGTCGGTAATGAAGTGCTAACAGGTATTTCACTTCCATTACAAGGAAAGAATGGATTAGATAATGCTTAAATCCAGCATCAAGATTGGTCTTAATGAATGTAGCAAATAATATCGCAGGTAAACTAGACGATCAGTTTTGCGTAGCGAAAGTTTGAAAGCAACGGTTATCAAATACATGTTAGCCATTTGTTCAGAAGCCCAAATGCGGGTATTTCATACATCTTTACATACGCAAGCAGTATGTACTACAGTACGTACCGTAGCCCCTTACAGTTTAATTGCAATACCTTATTTTTTAATTCATGTCACTATCCCAGTCTACGTAGACAGTATGACTGCCAAGATATTAAAGACCGCGTGAAATGAAATTTGACGCGGAAAAGTTTGCTGAGGCGTTTCTGCTCAGAGAGCACATTGTAAGTTGAAACCTCGGGTTCAGTGCTATGCTGCAACAGCCAGTCTAGTATACACTCAATCCACACCTTACCAGTTAGATATGCTAAGGTAAATGTATTCGTAGACAAACTGCTGCTGTTCTCTCTCGCATGCTGGCCTACTCAATTACGCAGTCGGATTAACGATCTCATTGCCGCCAACAGGATCACACACTCGATTCCAGGTAGACCGGTTCAGGTGCTTCAGCCAATTTGCGATGTTACACCACTAAGGAACCAGCTATATCGAGAAGTTACGCGTCCAGTACCGTTACGAAAGTTGAACCTTTCTCAAGTAGACGCTATTTTCGTGGACGAAGCTATGCTACGTAATGGAGAACAACAAGAAAACTTTGGTGGCTTTCATTCTTAACTTTTGTATACTAGATTGGCTGTTGCAGCATAGCACTGAACCCGAGATTTCAACTTACAATGTGCTCTCTGAGCAGAAACGCCTCAGCAAACTTTTCCGCGTCAAATTTCATTTCACGCGGTCTTTAATATCTTGGCAGTCATACTGTCTACGTAGACTGGGATAGTGACATGAATTAAATAATAAGGTATTGCAATTAAACTGTAAGGGTTTACGGTACGTACTGCAATACGTACTGCTTGCGTATGTGAAGATGTATGAAATATCCGCATTTGGGCTTCTGAACAAATGGCTAACATGTATTTGATAACCGTTGCTTTCAAACTTTCGCTACGCAAAACTGATCGTCTAGTTTACCTGCGACATTATTTGCTACATTCATTAAGACCAATGTTGATGCTGGATTTAAGCATTATCTAATCCATTCTTTTCTTGTAATGGAAGTGAAATACCTGTTAGCACTTCATTACCGACTATTTTCACGAGATCCAGCACAACCCTGACAAAGTTTAGGACCTGAATCTACTACTGACAGACAGCATTGGTCCTACCAATAGCCAGGCTCATGGCGTCGCAAACAACTCCAAGTCAGGGATGTGAGATTTCACTGGTACTTTGAGGAAAGAAAGCGTCAAAGCGCAGGGACATTAGCGGACTCCTGAGGTGGTCCATGCGCAACATAGCAAACGACGAATGAGGTGTACATATCCAGTGTGCTTAGTTAGGTGTTTGGCTATAGCTGTTTTCGTCCCAGTTAAATCATGGATCAAAAAGCCACACACATGAGTGGAAAAAGAGTAGTTTGCTAACTTCTATTGCGTCACATCCTTACGTCTCGCATGGACTATGGAACTGCTCACTTTGGACCAATTTAGCGGATAGTTTTATGCCACTGCTCAAACTAGTAGTTTAGAAATGCGAATATGTGGCATAAGCCCAGCGATAGATGTGAGGCAATCACCTAATTCCCCACACCTCAAGTGCCTAATACCTAGTTTGAGTGCGTTTGGCAAGACATAGAATGGGTTTGCATGTTTGTACTTGCTAAGTACTACGTGATTAAACGTTGCAAACATTCGTTTGAAGGGGTTGTCCTTTGTTCTCCGTTTAGCCAACAACTATCCGAACTAAAGCAGGGTGGAATTTCGTTTTTTTAGGTATTCATGCTGCAGGATCTGGTTTCGGTGCTAGGTCTGCGTGCTTAATCGTGAAGATTGATGGGAAACCACCACAAATGAAATCAACCACACATCCGTCCGTTTTGGGCAGGCAAATTGATAACGCGTTTCTGGGAATTGGAGCGATATATCACGTGCCATGTAAAAGTGCCGATGCTGACGACCAATGACCGAGCAGTGGTTGTAGCGCTAGCTGCTGACTGGTAACGATTTCCTAACTGCAAGCTACTTAAGGCATTTCTTAATTGTCCCGTATCTTTTGTAAAGGAAGTGTGTTAGCCTTTTCCATCATTCCATAATAGGCCTCCAAGCTTCTGTCAATCTGTTTTCTGTTTGAGCTCACGGAACTTAGAGTCTACTCACAAGCTTTTAGCAAAACATTTTCTTTTACTAAGTGCAACAGTTTTAGGAATTTTAAGCGTTTTCTTTTCCTTAGGAAGTGGCAATTTTCAGTGAGAGGACAATAATCGGCAGCTAATGCAGGCATTTGGTACTTACCCGTTAGTACCGAAAACAGTAACTTGGAATCACGTACAGCGATTAGATGGTGCAATCAAACATTGAAATATGCATTACGAAAAAGAAATTATTTCAATATATGTGGCCTCAACTATTCGTTTGAGCTTTTTGAATATCTTGATAAATTGGATGCGTCCGACAATGTCATGTGTTATTTAGATGCTGAATGCTTATTTACCAACCTCCCGCGGCATCAGACCATGGACTACAGTTGTGCATTGGCAGAAACTCTCATTTGTTCGTTACAGATACCGGTTTAGTTATGAAGAGAATCTTTGTTTCTGTGTACAGTAAATGTGGTATTTCTCTTCAGTAACACGCCGTACCGTCATTTTGATGGAATTGCCTTGGGCAGCCCAGTGAGCCTCATTCTAGCGGATTTCTTTATGTTGATGGTATAACAAGAAATATTCGAAAAACTAGCTCAGTTGTCATACTACAAACGCTATGTAATGACATGTTTGCGTTTTGTTTATCAGCGCGAGAGCTAACGCAACTAGTGACGCGTTGAAATGCTGTGCACGGTAAATTAAAAGTCACATGCGAAGTTGAACACTAGACCTGCGTGCCCTGTTTATATATTCTAATTAGCCGCACAGGGAAGGGGCAAAAGAAAAGTTCTACCAATCGAAAAGCAATGTGGTTTGGCCAGTACCTGCATTTCACCAGTTTCATGCCAATGCGGTACGAATGGACGCTCGTGAAGATCTTACTCATTCGTGTCAGACGAATATGTTCCATCGATTTTCTGGGCGATGAACTAGAGCTGATTACTAATACGCTAACTGCAAACGGCTATACACATAGATTCATCGAACACCATAGCCAACTCAGCGAAATGTGAGATCCGGTGCCAACCGTATCTCAGAAGAAGATATTCTTAGAGCTGCCTTTTAAAGTTAGCCTAGCTACGCAGAGGACTACCAGGTGTCTGCTCTCTGCGACACAGGGCACTTTCAGTGCTGTCGAAGTTGTTATCTTCGACAGAACATAAGTTGCCGCTTCCTCCAGTAAAGGAACTCTACCTATGGGGGCCAACTCTCACTGTAGCTACCAATTCGTGTGTAACTGCGGATCCATTTACATAGGCCGAACCCATAGGACCCTGAGTTCCCGAATGGAGGAGCATGTGCCGAAATGGGTCCAAGGCGAGAATGCACAACAAACGGCCATAGGCCAGACTAGACGTGTACACAAGGCCCCTGCATCTTCGATCGCCAGGCACTTATTGACCTCAGGTCATCTGATCGGGGTAAGCACGGCATTCAAAATTCGGCTGCGTCACATTACTTCTCGGCTCCTGCGATTTGCTGTGGCTATAGCAATAAACCGGACTGAACCGGTGCTTTGCGTCCAGAAAATTGTGCCTCAACCTCATATTGCCCTGGACATAGTGATATGACTTCTGTTGTTTTTTCGTATTGTTTGTTTCTAT